TTCCTTATCGGTTATGTCAAGGTGATAATGTATTCCTCACAGAGTAGTTATGGAGATTAAATTAAATAATGTGTGTAAGTACGTAGCACAGCTCCTAGTGTTTGGCCCTCCGAGAAATAACAAGTAGTACTGCAAAGAGTGCTGTTGTAGAAGATACGAGGTAGAGTTTATATCAGGGCTCTTACCAATGCCAGCTTATTTGCAGCAATATCCCTACCTTCTCCCATCCTTCCATCATGCCCCTTCTCTCACCCATCTCCAAACATCACAAAAAATACCAGTGTTTAATACATGATCTGCTTAGAAAGCATCGCTAATCCCCCCCACCACCACAGATAACACTTGCTTGAAATCTCTAGTTCCAGTTGCTGGAAGAGGAACTTTAATTTAGCAAACTGAAGAAAATGTAGTTTGCTACATATCATCAATGTATTGCCACCTCAGTTTGTATAAGGAAGATCAGATAAAGATAGAGAAAGCAGGCTATAGCGTGTTTAAGGTTGCACAAGACTCAAATGCAGGCTTCTTCCTCAGCTGATTTCAGAAGCCGCTTCGGCCCCTCTATTTGTCAGAACCCTATCTGGCATGTGTGACCTCTGCTTTTTATTGGGAGCTCTGGGTCAGCCTTTGGGAATACTAGAAGACGTAGGACGACCCCATTTTGTGGTTTTCTCAAATGAGAATTATGAGTGAATTCGACAGAATCACTGTGATCACCTTAGACTTTCCCATCAGTTGTTGTGTGCGTTTACTTTCAGCATTATTACCAAACACATAGAGGACCTGCTTTGTATGGGCTGCTGTCATAGGTGACATTTCACTCAAGAATAACATGCATCAGTTTTTCATTTCAAACGTACTGATTTTCCCATAGACCCTAAAATGCCTTGACACTCCATACTAGTTTGCCTTTGCTTGTAATCTTCCTCCAGCTTGAATTGCCTTCTGTCCTTCCCAAGACCAAAATAAAGAGTTATCATTTTAGTTCTGATCGAGCTAACAATCGCAAGACTTTTTTTTATTATTCTCATATTTATTTTTTCTTTTAATGAATGTTTATTATACATTTGCTATGTTGCCTGGCATAGCATTTGATGGTAGACATATGAAGTAATTGAGATGGAGTTACTGACCTCAAGGGGCTTATGTTCTACTAAATAAAATAAAGTAAATACACTGAAAGAAAATGTATCAGTATTTACAATTTATGGAAACCACTTTATGTTAGACACATTACGAGTTCCTTAAGTTACTTAATTCTCAGAAAGTTTAATAAATACATATGCTTGTTCTCTTTTTATAGATAGGAACCAAATTTTATAGATTCATCATACATTTAACAGGTTTTTATTTTTAAGAGAAATTTTTTGCTGTAGGGTACGTGTACTCACTGGAAAGACAGAGAGAGACAGAAAGTGTAAAATCACTCCCCAGGGGAGTGACCACACCACAATCTCTTCTTTATTCTCTTCTCAGGATTTTGGGCACACACACACGTGCATGTGGCGTGAGTTTTAAGCCACTGGGTCCAGGACTCGAACTGTGGTCAACTATGTAGGAGTCCAGCAACATAACCATTATGCCATCTGTTGGTCCCCCATTTACTAGTTTTAAAAACAATAGGACAAGAAACCAGGTCTAAATGCCTTGAAATCTCTTGTTTTTCCTACGATCCTACCTTACTTACTGCAGAACTATCCCGTATGTCATTGACTGCTATGACAGTCACTTGACTTAGAATGTCTTTGTGAGCTGTCAAAGCTCAGACACATACATAGAATTCACAAACAGGGGTTGGAGATTTGGAATATATGAGAACAGAACGTCATTGTGAATATGACACCACTGTTCACTGGTATAGGAAGGACCAGCAACAAGGATGGACTGTGTTAGACATTGAGTCCAATGGCAAAGTCCTGGCCTGGCAGGTGTGGGCAGTACATGCTGAGCACCTCCCCAGTGCCTGGGTCAGCCTTAGTAAGAAGGCTATGGGCAGGAATTAGGGGAAGTGACTGGAAGTCCTGGGAGAAATCTATGTGCATATTGTCCTCCAGACATAGGAGCCCTTTGGAGGTCTGTGATCAGTCTCCTGCCACTATTTGTCTTCACCACACCCTTCTTATAGCTCTCTGTTGGTTTACAAGGAGCTGTGGGTGCTCTCGAGTATGCATCTAACCAACACTGAGATGGCTGGACCAGTCTCTCAAGCCAGGCAATGCTATTAAAGTTTTATAAGAAAAGAGCATTGGACTGAGGATCAAGGAAGCATAACAGCCTCCATCACAGTCATCTGACTCTCTGGCTTTGGGCAAATCACTGTTTTGTTGTTGTTTTTGTTGTTGTTGCCTGAATTTCTCTTTGCTCACTTAAAAATGTGCACATAAGAGTATAAATTGTTTGAAAAGGGAACACAAGTGACTGCTAGATCACCCCAAGGACTAGGAGAAGGGAGAATATGTCTATCTTAATAATAGTTTACATGGCTTGCATTTTACATATTCATATATACGCATGTACAGATGTATACATTATACACCTATGTATCTTGTATACATACAAGGTATATATACTACATATACGTACACAAAGGTATACATACTATATGTGTGTGTGCGCACATACGTGTGTGTATGGATGGATAGATATAGATAAATAGATAGGTAGGTAGGTAGATATTGTGGTTGTTTAGTATCCATAGGGGACTGTGTCCAGGACTGCCTCTGCCCACCCCCAGGGATACTAAAATCCTGTCTCTTATATAAACTGGCATAATATTTGCCTATAGCCTGTGCACATTCTCTCTTATAATTTTTTGGTCTATTTTAAATTTACTTATTTTAAATTCCTTCACTGTACAGAATACAAAATGTGATTTCCTATCCAGAATAGACCGAATATTGGCTCAATCAAGGATATTACCATACCTGTTATCATCAACAAATAATTTTTCATTCCTTGTTTCTTACATATTTTGCTTTTTTCCCCCTAGAGTCCCTACTTCTCACCCTCTGCCATATAATTTAAATCAACTCTAGATTACTTATAATACTGAATACAATGTAGTGCTATAAAGATCTTTGCTATACTGTATATTTTGGTTACATTGTTTACAATGTCATTGATATTTTATTTTTCTTTTCAAATATTTTCTATCCAAAGTTGTTTGGATCTGGTGATGCAGAATCCATGGGTACAGAGGGCATACAATACATAAATTGTAGATACTACCTATTTCACCTTAGACCTTAACTACAGTGTGTTGATTTGTCCATCATGGGATTTGACTTCTCAGTGGATAGTGGGCCATTAGGAGAAAGGATAGGGTCAAAGCCATCTACATTCACCTGGAGCCTAACATAGCATCTGGTATATGATAAGTTTAAACAAATGCCTAATGGTAAAATAAATTAAACTGTAGGATGAAATGTTCAACTGAATAAGAATCTTCTGATGTGAGCCTTTGATGCTTGGGAATTTGTATATTAAACATGCATTTCAAAGGGACTTGAATCCTTAGGCAAGAGTGTGTATCTCTGACCATCTTGCTTCTCACTGAGGATTTCAGGGCCTGTCAGGGTCTGTGGTCTGGGAGATCAGAGCCAGCATCTGGGACTAGCAGCAGTAATGATCAGTTTAGATCCTAAGGCAGAGTTTTCCCTATCTTGTGACCTCTGCTGTGGGTCACTGGTTGAAGGCTTCCAGGTGTTTGTAGCTAAAGATCAAGGCAAAAAAACTCAGGGATGTATCTGGTTCCTGAGGAAGGCTAGCAGCAATATGGAGGGTAAGGACCTCAGGGAAACTCTTACACCCAGCCTTTCCTTCCAGCGCAGTGCTGGAGTTAGTGCTGTGGGGAGTGACTTCCTCCTAGGAGCCAGGCTGTCAGCTTCCAGGCCTCTTTCATGTGACATCTGCTCTAGCAGCCAGGAGCTGGGTCACAAGCTTCCTTTTTTTCTTGCCTTTGTGCAGGGTGGTCTGGAGGCAATGAGGAAGAGGATCAAGGGAGGCTGAATACTGTGTATGCAAAGTTTAAGTGATGTCTTCGGGGCTTGGGAAAATGTAATTCTGTTTGAGCAGTTTGTTGGCCATTTTGCAACTCATCCCCCTGAATTAGGGACCGAATGAAGTCATTAGTCTCTAATCAAAAGCAGCTAATCAGGAGTCAGTGGGAGCTCCGCCAATTAATCGCGGCTGGAACCCAAAGAGTTGTACTCAACGCTGGATGAATAAAAGTAATGAAATTAAGTATCAGTGCTGTGTAATACTGCACAACTTCAAGAACGGGTTATGGGCAGCTCTTTCTGCTATAAAAGAAATAGACTCGATGACAAGTCATGGGTGAGCTGAGAAGTGGCTTTGGAGCTTGCCCTAAGCCATTTGTAAATCGAATTGTGTGTAAGCCAGTATGCAAAGGAAGGCAGAGGTTGATTTTAGTAGGAATGATAATATAACAAAAATGTCTCTTTTATAGCATTTAAGTAATTGATAATTGGATTTTTTGCTGATGTGTCATTATCTGCATGTAAATAAAAAAGCAAATAAACAAACAAAAACAAAAAATAGATCTTTTCTCCCAAACCCAGCACAAAGCCTGGCCCAGGATTGCTGACAATAACACGTATGGTAATTTCCTTGACTGAGCCAATATGCAGTGTATTCTGGATGAACAAAAATCTCATTTTGTGTACTGTAATGGTTTATACTGAATGAATGTAAATAAATAAAAAGAAAAAAGAAAAGAAATTTAAATTAAAAATAAACAATTATGGATTAATTTAATTAACTTGCACAAAGCTAAAATTTGATTTTTTTTTTTTTTGCCTCCAAAATTTGCACAACTTTCCCTATACCACTTAGGAAGAACAATTCAATGTTCTTATTTGGTTGGAATAAAAGTTGTTATCTGTGAGCAGTTTCAGGTTCAGAAATATTCACTTATTTTTAATTACAGTATTAGGTATTGTATAAAGTAGATTGTCATACCTGAACTTTCCGTTTCACAGGTGGAGAGACCAGGGCCAGAGAGTAAGTTGCCCAAGACCTCAGCAAATTTGTGACAGAGGTAAGACTAGAACTCAGGTTCTGTCTCTGAGACCTGCTGTTTCCCTCAGCTCCTAGACCTTTGCTTTCATTACGGACAGTCATCCTTCTTACGTGGTATTTCCTTTGTCCTTTGAGATTTCCGATTTCCAGAGCTCTTAGTTTGTCTACATTGGGATCAATTAAAGAATTGCAGAACTGTTGGTAGAGTGTATGCTGGAGTCCAGGGCAGTGAGTCTAGACCAGGAGAGAGGCAGGAGTAGAGGGGTTATCTGCACTCTAAGGTCTGTGTTAAAAAGAAGAGAGGATTCATTATTATTTCCAGGGCAATTTCTACAGTGATGTTCTGAATGAAGGCTAGGCTTTAAAATGACACAGGGGAAAATGTTGAGAGCAAGAACCGTGGTCAGAAGCATGTGTGAGTGAGTATGTATGTGCGTGAGAGAGAAATTATGCACAAATGTGGTTTATTTGTTATATTCTATGAGTGATTTTCCATTTAAAAGTAGATGCTTGATTCTATCACAATGAAAAAAAAATGGGATCGTTGGATAAGTCATGATGCATTTTTGCATAGAAAACAGGAAACTATGTCATGACCTTTTGATGACCCAAAAGATGCTTGGATTTGTCTGTATTATGTGTATTTGTGAAGGAGTTCATTCAAACATAAACATTTGTGAGGAGATGTATTCATTTACATGTCTACACATATTTTGTTTTTCTTTGCATATCATGTTTCTAGATTTCTGTCTTCTATGTTTGTGGGTCTCAGAGTCTGTTAGTGTGTCTTTATGAGTTGGTGTGTGCTGTTAGTTAGTGGGGTAGGATGTTTAGGCAAGGATATGAATGTATGCATTTAATAATTGAGGCCATCTCTGTGTTCTGGTGTGTGTGTGTGTGTGTGTGTGTGTGTGTGTGCATTTTGGAGTGATTGACTATCTTCTTGTGTTTTTGTGAGAAGAATTTAGTGCATTTTCTATATTTGCATGTATGTATGTGTCCCTGGAAATGGTATATTTTGCTGGAGACCATACAGTATATGTTTGAAAGTTAAGGTCACTGTGTAATTTGTCATCCAAATGGGACATATTTGAGAATAAAATGTATGTGTGTATGCAAGTATGTCTATGTCTGTGAGTGGACTTTTATATGTATTTAATTTTGTGTGGGTTACTGGTGTCAGGAATTCATAAGAGAAACAGAAAAATAGGAGAAGCCATTAAATTATTTAGTTCTTTCTTAGGTTGTAGGCTCATAACAGATTTTAGATTAGTAGATAAGAACAGGTCAGTTCCAAAGAGATGTGCTTTTTTTTTTTTAAGGGAAAAAATAAAAAAACAGATCAATGAACCAAGAAAAGAGGCCATACATATCTAGTGATGACAAAAACCCACATGATTTAAAAAAAAAAAAAAGAAGTGAGAACAGTCAGTGAGGAAGGAAATGTGAACTACATTGTGCTAGAAAGTGTCTTTCATGTACAACATCCGCTTTGCTGTGTCCTCTTTATCCCTCCTGCCTTGTTCCCCATGAGTTACTCTGGTTTGTGAGGACCAAGATAGCTAAGACCTTTCATCCTCTTACCTCCACAGTTTGGAAAAATAACTCAGTGTGACCTCCATCAGGTAAGAGACAGAGGCTGGGAAGTGTTGGCTGTTTTATTTAGGGTGAGTTGGAAAAGAAATCCCAGGGCTACTTCTAGCATCCTCACTCCTTTCGAAAGTGTAGCTCTGACTCCCTAGTCTACACGTGGACCTCCCGGAGCTGGGAAATTCACTTGTTCAGCTCTCACTGGGTTTGCGGAGTGTAGTGGAGAGATTGGAATGAATGCTGCTTATCTTTCTAGTCTATCACAGGGGTACATTGATTGTCATCAGCCTCATCCCTCAACCACTCCTTTTTCAGGTACAGTCTACATGCTCAGTGCAGTGAAGGATCTGCTACTGCTTCTAAATACGGTAATAGTAATAGTAGTGTAACACATAGTCCTGCAGGGTAGTAGATTAAGCATGGCTGAAAATTCTTTGCCAACCTCCCATGGAAAGGTGGAATGTAATTGCCTCCTTTTGAATCTGGGCTGACCTTCCTGACTTATTTGAACAAGAGAATGTGTCAAAAGTGATTTCCTGCAACTTCTGAGGCTATCTTCTAAGAAGCCCTGTGGCTTCTGCTCAAGCCTCTTTCCTTTTTGGGAATAAAGTCATGACTCTGAGAAAAGCCTAAGCCACATGGAGAGACCACCCTGGCCTGTCAGATTTTCATGAGCGTCTGGTCAACAGACTGAGCCAAGTGGCTGGCTGACAGCTAACATCCTTTTCTTGCTCAAATGACATCTACCCCAGGTGCCAGATGAGCAAGTAAAATGTCATCCTGGAAGTGGATGTTCTAGTGCCGCGGTACCCATCCCTGGACCGCAGACTGGAACCAGTCCATGGCATGTTAGGAACGGCACCACACAACAGAAGGTGATTCACAGACTATGAAACTTTAACAATATTTACAGCCACTACCTTTGCTCACATTACTTCTGGAATTGCACCTCCTGTCAGATCAGCAGAGGCATTAGATTCTCATAGGAGTCCCTAGATGGGATCGTTTAGTGCAGGTAAACAAGCTCAGGGCTCCTATTGATTCTCCACTATGGTGAGTTGTATAATTATTTTGTTATATATTACAATGTAATAATAGTTACAATAAATGTAATATGTTTGAATCATCCCCAGACCACCACCCCTCCTACCAGTCCATGGAAAAAATTGTCTTTCAGGAAACTGGCCCTTGGTGCTAAAAAGATGGGGGACTACTGTTCTAGTTAGTGCTATAGGTCCGAAGATAGATCTTCTAGCTGAGTTCTTATAATGTACAGAATAAAAAGAGTTGTTTGACTGCATGGCATTTTGGAGTAGTTTCTTTCATAACAACATAAAATTGTTGTCTCCATTTATTATACACCAAATGTCCACAATCTATGGAAGAAACTGAAAGACTGGAAGATAGAAAAGCATGTGAATAATTGCAGATACTAGAGACAGCGTGGGAGGAGGGTGGGAAATAGGGCAGGGGGCGAGGAAGGGAATTAAGGGAGAAAAGAAAGAAGCAAAATGATTTGTTGGTGATAATGTGTATGATAGAATATCTTAAACTGGACTAGGATACAGTATATTCATGCTAGAAAAATTCATTTGGAAGCTGTAATGATATACAGTGATCAAATGTATAAAATAAATAAACAAACAAAATTGGAGTAGTATTACTAGAAATAGCTACCATATATTGACTGATGATTGTTAAAGCATATTCTTAGAGATTTTTTGAATATATGTACAATGCAATATTTAATACACATATATATGAGTCTTACAAATTATATGGAAAAACAGAAGTAAAGTACATGCCTATTTTGGTGCAAGAAGTTTGAAATCTGTGCGTAGTTTTTTCATTATAAATGTTTTCTGTAAACTTCTTGAAGCCCCTTATAGTTTATATTATCTTCACAATAATCTACAAGCTTCGAAGCATTTTTTATTCTTTGTATAGATCAGGAAGCTGAAGTTAGGCCTTTGTCTCTGATCACATAGCTAGCAACTGGCAGACGTGCATTTAGACCAGGACTTTTTCTACACTGCCTCTCTCCCTTGTAGCTCTGTGGTTTTGTTTATGACAATATCGATGACTGGAACACACAGTTCTGCTTGGAATCTCCTTACCACTCTCCCTACTTTACTCCAACTGACAAATTCCCTTTAATTCTTCATGGTCTAACTCTGTATCTATGTCATACCCAAATCCATGTAGATGTCCCTCAGTAAGCCTATTAGCTGCATGTAAATAGGGAAGTAATTCAGCCCCCCTGAGGCCCAGTTTCCTCACCTGTAATATCAGTTAAAATGACTGCCTTACAGGTTGCTGTGAGGGTTAAATGGAGTAATAGATGCTAAAAATATTAGCTGGGGGGAGCTACGGTACTCACACTAGTCATAGCCGGTTGAACTGCAGGCTGAAAGGATGAATGCCCTAGACTACTCCGTGTCTCTGTGTGCATCTCTGGCTATGCAGAGTTGCCTGAGGCACACACTCATGCCTTCGAGGAGCTCCTAGTTCAGTGCAGTGAAAGGGCCAATATGTTAATGAGATTTAGAAGGTACTGGAGACACGGAGTGTTTAAGCCTTAAAAAGGACAAGTGGGTCAGTACCTTTTCTTGCTCAAATGACATCTACCCCAGGTGCCAGATGAGCAAGTAAAATGTCATCCTGGAAGTGGATGTTCTAGTGCCGCGGTACCCATCCCTGGACCGCAGACTGGAACCAGTCCATGGCATGTTAGGAACGGCACCACACAACAGAAGGTGATTCACAGACTATGAAACTTTAACAATATTTACAGCCACTACCTTTGCTCACATTACTTCTGGAATTGCACCTCCTGTCAGATCAGCAGAGGCATTAGATTCTCATAGGAGTCCCTAGATGGGATCGTTTAGTGCAGGTAAACAAGCTCAGGGCTCCTATTGATTCTCCACTATGGTGAGTTGTATAATTATTTTGTTATATATTACAATGTAATAATAGTTACAATAAATGTAATATGTTTGAATCATCCCCAGACCACCACCCCTCCTACCAGTCCATGGAAAAAATTGTCTTTCAGGAAACTGGCCCTTGGTGCTAAAAAGATGGGGGACTACTGTTCTAGTTAGTGCTATAGGTCCGAAGATAGATCTTCTAGCTGAGTTCTTATAATGTACAGAATAAAAAGAGTTGTTTGACTGCATGGCATTTTGGAGTAGTTTCTTTCATAACAACATAAAATTGTTGTCTCCATTTATTATACACCAAATGTCCACAATCTATGGAAGAAACTGAAAGACTGGAAGATAGAAAAGCATGTGAATAATTGCAGATACTAGAGACAGCGTGGGAGGAGGGTGGGAAATAGGGCAGGGGGCGAGGAAGGGAATTAAGGGAGAAAAGAAAGAAGCAAAATGATTTGTTGGTGATAATGTGTATGATAGAATATCT